AATTAATTTAGAATAATTGGATCCTAAGGAATAGTGGGCAATACAAATCATAGCATTTACTCTTCCACAATGAACACAAATAATTTTAAAAATCATTAACCAAAGCCAGCAGTACTTAGTAGGGGCGTCTGCAAGTGGAGGAGGGGCAGCAGCTGGGCAACTTGCCTCAGATCTCTGTTTAATTTTGGTGCCAACATTTTCCCCACCCCCATGGAAACAAAAATTTATTCACGTCTATTTCCAATTAACCACTGTATTTCTGATGTCTGGAAAAATGAATTCTTTTTAAGTACTGAGCAGAACTTTTGTTCAAAACATGGGGACCCCATAAATCTACTGCACTAGGACTCATTTTCTCTGGGCACCCCTGATATCTAGACCCGCTTCCACCTACTAACAACCCAGTGCAGCTTCTTACTACCATCTTTAACAGACATTGTCAGTGCTCACATGATTAAGACACTAAGAATTTCAAAAACAATAAGACAGCATCCAGACATTATTTCATAATAATTGAAGGCACACTCATAATACAAGAAATACATATTTGTATGCACACTGAACTGCATATTGCGAGGATAATTCACAAAATATAAAGGAAACATTTTTGATGATACAGAGTTATACAAATTAACACAAAAATTGCATCCCTAGATTTCAAATTTGAAACGAATTCCAAATACTCAAGACAAAAATTTAAGATAATTGTAAGATATTTCACTTTTTAAATTAAGACACTTGGAAAATTAGAACTCTCAGATATTGTCCGATTTTTTATCCACGTCCACAAGAAGTAAAAGGGGAAAAATTTTACCCATCTCACTTCCTTAGGCACTCTTGCATGTTTTGTTTGTCTTCTGTGAACTGGCAGCAAAAGTGACAACCAAGTCAAATGAAATTCATCAGAAATACCAAAAAAATACAAAGAAAAATTCAAAATTGGAAGTCTGGTTTACATAACTTTCACATACTTCAAGCACTGACTACAATGTCACTATAGTGAGACTCTGTAGATTTACGATCATATCCTGTTCGAATTTATGATGTTTTACTCTTAACAACGCTTTACATTACAAAATCTGGGCCATTTGTTTTCCTTAAACCTTCCCAAAAATATGAAACATTGTTTTGTAAATAAATATTTCAGTCAATTATCTTCTATGAAGTTCACAACAAATCAGTTCCAGGTGAAAATTGAACAAAATATATTTAAGACAACTGCAGTTCCTTTTTATTTGTCACTTTCCATATTCTTATAATTGACCTTCTAAATTTCAAGATAAAAAATTACTTAATAATAGGGTTCTTTACTGTCTGTATTTGTCAGTGTTTTAATAAAAAATCATATCCCCATTAATTAGAACATTATTTTCAGAATGGTGCCTTTTATATGGTGAAGTCTATCTGACCATGCTTCTTGTAACACAGCTATTTTCATGGTAGCACATGAGGGATACATTTTTTTCCATTACAATGCCAGTAGATTGATTACTTTTTGTTTGCTTTTCCAATTCCAGATTTAAATGAAATAATGAAGCCCACTGGTCAGTATTATTTACATCAATGTCAGAGTATTTCTACAAAATCAACAAAGTTGGCAGAAAGTCATGTGTTTGTCAAGCTGTGAAATTGGCGGACATTTAGTGCAAACTTATGCGGGTCAAGGCAGCTCAACATGTGTGTCATTCGGTGGATCCTGAGCAACCACTCGCAGACGTGTTGCTTGCGATACACAGAGTGCCAAACGTTCGGTATTTGCCCTACACCACGTGTCGATCATTAGGACACATCAAAGGGAGTAAACATTCACCAAACACATCAGCTGATCGGAATTGGGCGATCTGCTCAGCAAATGCCGAATGTGTGGAGTCGCCTTAATACAACACACAACATCAGCTAGTGAGAAAGTGAACTTCAGCTGTAAACAATATTAATTATACCACTAATCTAATTTTGGCTTTTTGATATCTCAGCTCTTTCAGATATCACTTTATTGGTAACAAGTCACATACAACCTCTACCTAATTGGCAACTTTTAAATGTATACACACACACAAGCATTATTGAGAAGAACCCTGAAGCATGTTCTACACACTACAACTTGTTTCTTCGAAAATGACAAAGTGCTGTTCTTGCTTAATGGAGCAAAAATGAAGAACCATCAATCATAGAACATTACATAAAAATAATATTATATTCATAGAGCCATCAAATATTTCACTGCCATAAATGGAAACTTATTTGGGGGAAAAAAATAATAATAAAAAGAATGAAAACATACGTAAGTACTCTTATTTTAGATCATACAGTTCCCTCCTATTATTTTAGAAATGAGGAAAAGCACAATGCTATAAATAGATTTCAAATTTTATTGGGTGCAAGGAAGAAGGAAAAAGATGAATTAAATTTATGTTGTTTGTAAAATAAATTAATTACATGGATAGAATTTAATAAATTTCCAGTTATAATAGTTTGGTAAACACACTTGTTCAGCCTGTTTTCCATGTATCCTAAGTCAAAACTAGCATCAATCACACCACCTACATTTCCTAACAGAAAATGTAGTTAATAGAACAATTTCTTTATCGATGCATTCAATGGAATGTTGCAACTTGCACAGTTACTTAGTTAAATAAATGTCACAAACCCAAAATAAATATAAACATCACTAGATTCTCATAACTTATGTCTTGTAGGCCTATGCAAAATTATTTCATGAACAAAGAAAAGATAAGCTGTTCAATGTGCAACACAGAAATTTAAACAAATAAAAGGATACTGCAAAGCTGTGCACCAAGCATCGCTAGTGAAGCTTCCAAGGCGTCTTCCACTTTCCGAACAGTGAAACTGGAAAGTGCGGTCTCGGCTCGTACTCAACATCCACTCACATGTTAAAGCAAATACAACAGCAGTTACTCGAGCCTGATGAGCTGGATATGTTCGAACAGCTGTCATTCGATTAAAATCTTGTGCCAGCGTAAATTCCTGCAAAGATGACAATGACCAGTGTCACATTACTACACGTTTTTTAAAAATTTATTTTATGAGAAAACACTTAATATTACCCATTAGAAAATTTTACTTACAGTAACTGATCCATTTTCTACTCCAACAAACAACTGTCTTGTTTCTACACAGTAATATAGTGCAGTTGCACCAGACGGCATATAATGGCAGACACTGGGCCAATATTGTCCAGAATCTCGTTTCAACCAAACTCGTACGCTCCTGTATTTTAAAAATGATATACTACAATATTCTGTCACACAAAATTTGCTACACCAAATATTGAATAACATACAAAGAACCACAAAGAATACAGAAAGTACCATTCTAAAAATTCCTGAATTATGTATAGGGCAGACTCAACAAAAGGCGACTGAATTTTCAACGAGATGTGGAGTAATTAATGGTAACTTCAACAAATCCGTAGGTAATCCCTCAATCTAGACTAAATGTCAAATTTACTAACTACTCTTACCGGTCATCACAAACACTAATAACTCCATCTTCACCAGGAATTAGAACTGCAGCATTCACATCATCATTACAACCTTCGAGTTTAGATAAAAGAACGGGTTTCTTGGTAGAACTAAATTTATTGCTATTGCTGCTGGGAGCGGGTTTGATCTCGGCAGCCATGTTTCTGTTTCCACTAATCTCACTGCCTTGTCGATGACGAATCTGAGAATAATTTCTTCAGACTGCTTTGAACAACTACACTGCACGCTTGATATCTTATCCTGAGAGTCCTGAAACAACTTTTGGGCAAGGCATGTCAAAACCACGCACGAATATATCCAAATAGGATACTTTCAATTGTAATGTGACAAGTGCTAGAAAAGAATGACACATCAGGCATGAGACAAAGCAAAAACTTGCATTCGCCTTGTGAACACGTCACAAACGCAAGATTCAGGACTAATTGTACTACTTGTTCGCTAATTTAATAATTTTGCTTTTGTCCATTGGCCAGCAAATATCATAAACGACGTAACATTATTTTACGTTAGGTAATGTTAAAAGCATTGAAATCGATTTAGGCATTCAAAGGGCGTGCCCAAGAAACGAAAAGCACCAAAAGCCAAGTCGTTGGCATACACTGATTAGTCTTATTTCCTTTTAACAGGCTAATCATTAGAATCTTCCTTCTTGTGTATTCTGACAAAATATCTTAATCAATTTTATCTTTTTAACGTTTCAGTGAAATTAAGCCTTTCAACGAAATATTGTCGCATTGTTTTTTTCTAACTTCGCTCAACTCGATTCAATTGAACAAAACTGCAAATTCTCCAAAGATGAAAAGAAATAATTTGTTCCATCAATCATCTCAAACGTTTCTAGTGTTGTTACTACGCGGAAACGATTGAATGTTTCAAGCCTTTGAGTAATTTACATTATTTTCTTCCAGCGGATAAGGTGTCTAAATTAGTTTCTATTCAGATAAACATGGTAAGGCGCACGATGTAGTTTGCCATCGAAATAATGAAACCCTTTTAATGAGGACACGTCTGTGGGCTGTTTCGTACGGCTGACCGAATTGTTATCCTGATTGGACAAGAAAAGAGAAATCAGAACAATCAAAACAGTTCTGGTCATCATTTCCTCCCTTAATTTTTCTTTCATGTATCTGCTCTTATCAAGAGCTTTCTTCCATCTCCTGTATTCATTTTTTTACTCGCGAGAGTTAATTACTTGAAGATAATACAATATCTTGCTATTAAATTTCAGTCTCTGCTGTCTATTGTCTTTTATAGGAAACTTGCTTCTGTCTCGGTATATCTTTTAAACATCTTGTATTCTCTAAATGAATGGGAAAATATTAAAAGTAATACTTTCATATTAATATCCAGGGGCCTGGGGCAGTTGATCCACAGGGACCTCTCATTTCAAACACATTTCCTCCTCGCCCAATTAATAAACAGATTTAATTTCTCCAAGGATCAGAAAATAACCAAATAACTTACGTTAAATTTGGATATAAATGGACATATGATTTGCAGTAACCCAATTTATTTGTTTTTAGGGCACACAAAATGCAGACTGACAACACAATATTTTAGATGGAGTAAATTACTATGTAAAAGAATTATACTTTTTTTGGTGTCATGGACCTAAAATACAGATTTTGCTGTTGAAAAATCACTTTTTGCTGCAAGTTTACATAATTTTATACTAGTAAGTAGTATGTGAGGAAGTAAGAACTAAAAGAGAAATAAAAGGGAGTAAGAATATACACATGTGCACTTATCAGAATAAAGAATATCATATTAACTGAAAATTCTGAAAGGTGTGATTACAATATATTTACAAGTGCAAATAAAATTACATTTGTATAAAAACAGAATATTCACATAGGTACCAAGTTACAAGGTTTTAAGCATATTATATATTTATTTTGTCCCATTTGTATCTACATAATTTCACAATTCAATGTACTTAAAAATAAAATAAGCTAAAACTGACACTACTTAGTACAAACAAAGTATTTGTTCTGGACCTAAGAGAGATGTTTCAAAATTTAATGCAGATGCAAAAACGTTTTCCAGGCAAAAAAAAGTGCCCTTGCTTGGTGTAGCCCTACAAAAAAGGCTATAAAAGCATAAATAAGTATTGAACTCAGCAAATTTTAAATAAGTTAAAGAAGTTATTTTCATAAAATGCCTTATTTGTCATAACAAAAAATATTAAAAATAAGAGACAGCAGAAAGACTAGTCACTGTGTTTAATACTTCAGAATCTAATACTGAAAAATGGCATTACTCTAATCACATTATCACAAAAATAATACTCCTGAGAATGCTGTTATTCTATGCAAAATAGCCATCACCAAAAAAGTATTTAGTCAGTGCATTTTAATATTTTAATGATGTTAAAAACTTATTTTTCAATACCCACACACACTACAGGGGTATTGAGAAAATTGTAGTACAAACTGATGAAGTGAAATTCTACAAGGTCAATAAGAGGCAACTTTGCCTTTGAAAACTTCAATACATAACTTATTAAATATTTGAGTATTTCAAGAATTTAACCTACTCCACTGCTGCAATTTTTTAAGCCAGTGCTCAATTTGTGAAGTCACACAGTTTTAAAAAGAATTTCTTTATTTTGATCTTTTTATAATAATACTTTTATTTAAACTTTAAAAAAATTAATTTAATTTATGATTATTGGTGTTGGGTCTTCAGTCTTTGAAAATTAATTAAGTGATAAAACAAGATCAACTTTCTAGACATAATTTCTGAAATCTCCTAATCTACTGTGTTCCAGTTGGTAAGGACAAATCTCTTGTACTACCCATTTTCCAATACCCTTCATTTTAACAATGTACCCTTTATCATATGAATTACTGTTTATAGTTTACATGTACAATTATTAGTTTCGTCTAGGTCCAGTTCAATCTTTCTGACCAAAAATTCCTTGATATCAAACATTACTACAAAGGGAACTTCTGTAACACACACATTATATATTTCATTATAATTAATTGTACTCTTAGAAGGAGGATCACAGCCATACCCAAATAGATTTCACAAATCTCATTGTATTTGTTGAGAAGCCTTACAAACAACTTTCAAAAAACACAAATATCTCTGAAATACCTGCCATTTGGCCACGAATAGAATAGAGCAATGAACACATGTTAGCTCAGCAAGTAAGAGCTGTAGGGCCTGAAATGTACATACATACTTGACATTCTATTTCAAGTACATGTTTCTTGCATGAAAATATTAACATGGATACCATGTCTTTTATTAAGCTGCAAAGTTTCTACCTGCGGCAATGATATTACTATAAAATAAAAATAACAGCTGTGCATTTATTGTGTTTTAGAAGATTCACTGCCTACTTCCTTCAAAAGTACAAACATAAAATTTATCAAAAATATTCTCCAAGCCAATAGTGCATAAATAAACTACTAATGGAGATATTTGATATACAAAGACAGTGAAGTGCAAATTTGATTTTTAGTCATTTAACACAGGATTTATGACATTCAAAATTGGTGACATGCACCAAAAGCACCAAGTAAACAAGGTTTTACTCTGTACTGCTGTTGGTGCATCATGTTTCAAATGAAGCACTTGTAGTAAAGTCAGGTGAAAGAGAGGTTCATGATAGAACCACAAATGGCTTGAAGGCACATACATATAGCCAAACACAAATCAGAGGGAAAGCAAAATTATATTTAAATATTTACATAATTGAACAAGCTCAAGACCACCAGAAAGAAGTTTAGAGTTTGAGCAAGATGCTGATGATCATGTAAGCTATCAAAGTCAAAATTGTTGACACAATCTTTGCAAGCAAACAATTCAGACATTTTTTAGCATGTGATCTATTGTTACTACATGGTTAGTTTAAGTAAAACTTTTTAATTAGGAGCTTCTAAAAGCAAGCACAAAAGATCTACGATAAAAAGCACATTTGCTACTGCTATTTCTACTTCGTATGAATCTAAAGTATTTCAGACACTACTGTCAGTGAGAAACAATGAAAAGTCTCCATCTATAGCTTACTGCCTTTGATACCTGCATTTTCAAAATGAGGTTAAGGGAATAAGTTAATACATTGTTAAAAGAGAGATTCAACAGTAAGCATATTGAACTTGTGACAATTAATTGCTACAGTACTGACTTGCAGAAAGTATTTCAAAAGGAGGAACATTGCCAATCTCAACAATAGCAAGATTAATAAAAATATTATTGCAACACAGTTCAAAAGTAATAATTGCTAATACAATGGAATCCGGTTCCATTCATCTTGCACTGACAATTGCTTACAAAAGATTAATGTAAATTATTTCTTATGTAAGTATCACAAGTTATTGCTTCGTGCACTCTCTTCATGGAAAAATAATTCTCCCACAGAAATTCATTTGCAATCATTAAATAATTAGTACACTCCATTATTGGTACAATCATAATAATTTTTTAGAATAGTGCCAGCACTACGCTTTTTTGTAACGCATCTACTGAGAAAGTTTCAACACAATTTTGTTGAGAACAGAACAAACAAGATAGGATGCAGGAAGTTTCTAAATTATCACAAAATAGCATTTAACCAATGACAGTGGAGATATCAAACCCATGGAGTATTTGCTCACTGACATACACCACCATTAATAAAGGGCAAAACTGCAATAGTCTACAAGCCACCACCACTTCGTTCAACAGTAATCTTCTTTTTAATTTTCTCATAATGTGCTTCTTCCATTTCTGCCATGCGAGCAAATCTGGAGTATGCTACATGACCAGATTTAATTGCAGACATCATCTGTATACAAAAAACAAATTATATTAATTAAAAGTCTAAAACAGAATTTGAGATAGTAAAAACAATCAATTTAGTTGAATCAAGACAGGCTTTCAATAAACAATAAATTTAAATTAAATTAGTAATGCTACAACAGCACATTTTTTATTTTATTCTTCATAATAGTTATGTAATATTATAATGCTATTTGAACCTCCAAAAGTGTTTCTACCTTGCAAAAATATTTGCTTGGGCTGTGATTTGAACATGAACACATAGACTCTATGATCAATTGTTTTGTCTAATTTCAAACCGTTGTATATCTCAATGCTTAGATGGTTACCTTACCATTGTCAAAAAAAAGTTTTTTTCATGGTTTATGGATTAACATTTAATAACTGGCAATGAAATTACAAAACCTTTCTTACAAACATTTCAATAAAAAAGTCTTTGAATTTATATTTTCATCAGTTATGGTACAGAACATGTGAAGGATACTTTGCAATAGGTTGAAGAGAAAGTACTTAAGGCAACTCGTAGGCAAGAAAGGAAAACATTGTCAAAATGTGACAAATGAAATAGCATTACAAAAAGGTTATGGTCTCCATACCTGTAAATATTCATCCAATTCCACTTGTCCATTCATATTTGTGTCTATCTCTTTCAAAATCTCATGAATTTGTTCTCCCGAGACCTCGTCACCAGAATGCTAAAAGAAAATAAATTACATCTTCACATGTCCATCTATTAATTATTTGAATAATTTATTATCACAAAATTTCACTTTTAACTGCAACGAAAGTCAAGCCCATACTTAAAATAATGATTATTTAGAGGACAATGAATTTCTTGTGCTGTTTATTTATGTGCATGTGCCCACATGCGCATTTATCATTAGTACTTGCTTTTCAAAATTGTGTTTTCAGGATGACAAAAGAAATTCTAAATTTTTATTTCAACACCATTAGAAGAAACGTAACTGTGGAAGAGAAATTCAAATCCAACTGGAGAAAGGGAACTCTCACTACATTATGATATCGATGAAAATAATTTCATCTAATGGCCTGCACCAACAAAAATGCTGCTGAATAAAACCACACAAAATGGTTTTCCAAAAAGTAGCTAGCACACTACTCAAGAACAACAAATACAATGCTCATGGAGAACCCTGCAATAAATTAAATATTTGAAAAAAACCCACGGTCTTCACTAATACTGCAATAACATAGTAAAGTAACAGTGTAACAGTTCTTCACATTCTACCAAAAATATATAAATAAGTTGTTTTTTCAAAATGCAACAAGTGAATAGGAAATATTTAATATGATGGGCTCTTCTTCAGATCCTTCGTGTTGCATAATGTCAGTGGTGTCGTACACAGTGATGCACTGAGTATGAGAATTCAGCCAATACACACAGTAAGAGTGTAGTACAACATAATTAAATAATTGCCTTTTTTAGTGAAAATCTATTTCCATTGTTCTTGGATTTTCACAAATTCCTGGGCATGTAACAAAACCATTGATGGCTCTCACATAGCTACCTGTTGCTTACTTTTCTCTTAACTTCGGTGTACAAAATTAGTAATATAGATAGAAGGAAACTGCAATAATTCTCACGAAAATAATTTTAGTTTTACAATACGAGGTTAATCAAACAATTTGAATATCAACCAGTCACTGGAGAGCTTTCTTCTAAATCTTTTTATGCATTATTTTACACAAGATATAAATCACAAGCCTCCTCTTTTATTTAATTATTTTAGCTTGAGAACCTATTTGAATAGAAACAAATATGTGAATTACAACTTGCAAACCTTTGGAGAGATTAAAAGAGCCTTGCTGGCCAGATCATAACCCACTTACAGATATTTTTAAAACATTTAAGAGCAGAAAAAAGAAATGGTAGAAGGAAAATAAGCTGAAGCTGAAAGTTTTCATGCCAAATTTAACTTGAAGTAACTGAATGTTTGCAGCCTGAGAAAGTAATGCCAGAAGATGTAAATAAATGTTTTATGACTGAGAACAATGGAACCAACTGTATCTGAAATCAATGATTAAAATGTCTATACTCAAAAGTGCTAAAATGAGAAAAAGCCTTTAAAATCCTATCTCGAAATTAAAAGACAATTTCTACAATAAAATAATTTGTCTTTCAGTAACCTATGCTCCACTACCGTAGTACATTTCTTCCTTCCATTCCTGCATGAAGTTTTAAGAGAAAACTATGGGACAAATCTTAAAGACTGGTGAGGAACTCTCAATGCAAGTATCTTGTCATCACCTCTTCTATTCCCTTCAAATTTCAATTGCCAAGCGTGTGATAAATGTAACTGGGACACACAAGAAGTTCACATGTCTAATAAATAAAGTAGTCATATAATAATAACAATAATAATAATGCGCTTTCATCAAATCCAAAGAAATAATTTAGGCAGCCAATTTTCATCTCAATTTCTGTCACTTTGTATGCAAGTATTTCTACTAACTTACCTTAAGGCTTCTACGAATGTCATTGATGGAAATATAACCTTTCTTCTCTTTGTCAATGATCTGAAAACGTTTGATGTAAGTCTGAACTTCATCTGCACTCAAATTTATAGGAAGCTTTTCCCGTGACACTTTATTCATTTTATGGCCCATCTCTTCTTGAAGAAAGACCGAAGCAAGACTAATTTGTTTCTGAAATGAAATGCTTGTTAAAAGAATGTTATATTTTTGCACAATGCTCAATGAAAACAATCATGACCTATGTACACAGATTTTACATAATTTCTACTTCATAACAATGTTTGTCTTCAGTCCTAATTCTCCAAATTTCTCTTTCTCTTTATAAAAACAATTTTGCTTCTAAGATTTTTACTGTACATGAAAAGAGTCCAACATTTTGACACCTTTGTACCTTTTTCTCCTCTTCATTCCAGTTCAGCTCTTCTGCCATAATCTCTACTATGCCAGGCAATGCTTCTTGGGCAGCTTCAGAATTCAAGAAAGCAAGTCGTAACCGACGAGCGATTACATCAATAGCAGTACGAGCATATTCTTTCTGACATGCATAACGTACCTAAGAACGATGAATAGAAAGGTAAAAAAATTGCAATTTCAAGATAAGACAAAATAAAAATGTATTGCAATTAGTTAGTTTATGCTGATACATACTTCTGCATCAATGTATGGATATTCAGGATGCAATTTACAACCAATTATTGGCCACCGTTTGCCTGTTAGCTGAGCTAATTTCGCAACAGAGAAAGCACGGTCACCATATGCATTTGCTAAATTTTGTGCAACTTCTGATTCAAGACCAAAGTCTTGAACAAGGCGAATGTACATTGTTGGAGTCCATCCATGGGCACCTTCAACTTGTAAACCCCAAGTCTGTGAAGTGTTCTGCACAGGCTTCAGTTGACATGCTAAAAATATCAATAATATACTTAGTGATGAGAAATAACTTCTTTCTTCCAAAGCAAAAACGACTTTAAAAAATAGCTTTTATTTAAGTACATTTACCTTCAATTGCAGCATCAATAGTTTGTTCAGCCATTTCTCGGTAAGTAGTCCACTTCCCGCCAGCAATTGTAACCAATTTGCTGTCACTAACATGAACAATATGATTTCGTGCAAGAGACTGGGTATCAGCCTTATTTGGATCTGATACTAATGGTCGAATCCCACTCCAAGCAGACAAGACATCACCACGCCGCACTATAAAGAATATGATTTTTTTTATGTGCATTTTTTGCCTATAAATTATGCAAAATATTTATATGCATGTTATTTACCTTCAACATCACAATTAAGATAGTGCTTTATTTCTGCCAAAATAAATAGAATCTCTTCTTCAGTGGGTTTAGGATTGTGAGTCAGCTCACAAGGCATGTCAGTAGTGCCAGCAATAGTGTGTTTTTGCCATGGAAGGAAGAAGATGACTCGCCCATCAGATGTCTGAGGATCCAGAAGACCCATTTGATCTGGACTGGCAACAAATAATTGATAAACTTTTCAGATGGTAAATAGTTGGTGTATTTAAGATATAATATTTTTATATTTCCAACAATGAAAGAAAAGTAAATAGTATTGAGTTGTGAAAGCAATGCAAAGAAACAGTAATAGGATATTATAACTGGTCAATTTTAGTTAATTCTTATTTTATCTAGATTACATTCACAATATAGTCAACAAAATCATGGGTTGCAGCTAGAAACATTAGCTACAATATGTTGAAGTTTTTTTTTCCCCATTCAATACAATCAGCTTTCTTAAGGGCATAAGAAAAACTTACAAATTATCAATTGTAACTTGCCCTATCTAGAATGGAATAATACTATGTAATATTGAAATAGCAAAATCTGTTTATGAGACTGCTTTACACTTTAGTAAAACAGCACATACTTTCTCACTTTTAGTCATAATTATGTAACATTATTTATACCACAATTTCTCTCTGAATTAACACCCAACAATAAGACGTAAGTCACAAAAATTAGCTTCCAAGCCATTGTTGCATTCCAATCTGATATTCCTTGAAGGCTAGCAATTTTTTTTTTCATATATTTCAAATAGGTTCTAAATAATTTCTAAAAGATTAATTTGTAAATGTATAAAAAAATTTTGAATGCAAGAAACTAAAAAAGATACAAAAATAATATACAAATTCTAACTTATGAAGAATCCAACTGTCTGGAATTACATTCACAAAGCGCAGCGAATTTGGAGCGGGCAACTATATTTGTCGCCAAATTAGACAAAAAATACTCATTTTCAAAAATTCAACATGACCATATTCAAAGATCTGTTTTTGATTAAAACATTTCATTAAGGTAAAAAATTGTATTTTCCTAATTGTAGTTGACATAGAAAAAAAAATTTAAATTTCCGAAAAATCAAGCATTTCAATGAGCATGAGAGACACACCATTCTCTTAAGCGGTCTTTATGCTATCTAAATTCCGAATTTAATAAAAAAAAAAGTGCAGTTTTTAAGAAAAAATGGTTTAAAGAAAATAAAAATTGCCTATGTTTTACACAAAATTTTGCAAAAAATACTCATGTTTTCAAAAAATTGAACATGACATTAGTTTTAGATCTGTTTTGCATAAACACATTTCATTAAAAAATAAAGATTTAGCTTCACAATTGTAGTTGAAGGAAGACGCCAGGAATTTTTTGAATTTCTGCAATTTTCAAAAAAAAGGGTTTTTAACAAAAATGAGACCTGCGCCATTCTCTTAAATGTCCTTCATGTAATCTAACAACAAAATTTAATCAAAAACAATTGAGCAATTTTTTGAATATTCTGAAATTGTCCAGGGGCTTTAAGTAAAGTATTCCCACAATTAAAATTTTGGTCTCAAATTCAAGGGGTCCTGATATAAGCCAGATTGATTGAGGAATATCAAGTGTGGAGAGAATCAGCTGAACACTTAAACTGCTAACATTGTTTACAGACAGCCAGTTGGACAGATGTTTTGTTGTCAATTGAATTGTTTACTTCAGAAACCTGTCAAAACACCAAAATCTAAAAAATGCAATAGTGGTGAATTATTGCCCTGAGGAGGATAGACCCATTGTATAGTCTATTTGTATATAAAAAATTTTCAATTATTAACTGCTTTAATAAATAAAAATATTTTGAAAACAGTGAATATGGGAGGCTTTTTGTCAGTTTTCTCGAAATGAATATGGTGTTTGACAGGTTTCTGAAATAAATGAATTAATTGATTTTTCAGTGTCAAGGATTTGCAAAACATTCCATGTAAGAGGACCGTTTTTCAGTTCCGTAAGAGGACATTTAGGAACAGGATCTAACCACTTTGTTGTTACCAAGGCCCTGTAATATGAGTTTCTCTGCTGAAAATTCATTGTTTTTCCATGCAGCATTACATAACTTTCTCTCTGCCGCAGTAGCGAGAAAGTAAGAAAATATAAGCAATAAAATCAATTTGATTTGCATAATTTGAAGAAGAAATAGTCAATGAGACAGCCTATGATCAATGTTATAGGAGCAATTGATGTAACAACTTTAAAAATGTGCAGGAAGCTGTCTTGGTACCATCTTAAAATTAAGAAAATATAAATTTATGTATTGCTCATCTTTTCATAAAAAAAATAGATTGCATAATAATACAGAAAGCAATGAACTGCACTGGAGCATTACGTAGAGGTGTGTATAGATTTTAAATGAAATGTAAACATTTTATTACTGAACACTATGCGAGTTTTCACAAATTTCTCTATGGAAATACAAAATGAGGGGCTTTAAAATTAACCAGTATACTGAACACTCACCTATAATAACCTGGGAGCACTATATGCACACCAGAACTTGGCGAACAAATTTCCTTCACCTTGACATCATCCATCTTTCGAATGGAATCAGTGAATGGACCAGTGGCATTGATAACACATTTTGCGCACACATCAAATACTTTTCCTGTCATTTCATCCCGAACACGAGCTCCTGCAACTACTCTTTTGCCATTTTCTGTTTTATGATGAAGAGACAATACTTGTACATGATTAGCAATTGTTGCTCCATAACGAGTAGCTGTCAGGGCAACTGCAAGGTTCATTCTTGCATCATCTTGCTGACCTATAAAGTAATAAATATTATACAAACAGATACAGATAAATAGTATATATGAGAACATATTTCAATGCCATGATTTAAAGTAATTTATTTTATACAAAAAATAATGGGCAACAAACCATCATAATACACAATTGCACCACGTAGTTTTTCTCCTTTAAGCATAGGAAAAAGTTCTAAAGCTCGCCGTTTAGAAAGAAGGTAGGAACTGCGAACAGTTTTGGATCCAGCAACAATATCATACATTTTTATGCCAACCCAGTAGTAAGGTACTTGCCACCATCTGTAAAAAAACCAAAAAAAAAACAACTCTTCAACAGCTTCAACATACTGAATCTACTCACAAGAACACAAGTATCCTCTAGAATAGGAAGAAAACAATTATTGGAGAATCTGAAAGGAATCAAACTATTTTTTTAATTTACTTTTTCAAATAATAATAAATATATTTTTTTGCTTATAGAATTTCAAAATGTATTAAGCATAATCTGCTGGCAATCAACTTAAATTGCAATAAGAATTGTATTATATTTCTTTTAGGAATTACATTAACTTACAGTAATAATTTAATTAGTTTACAGTGACTTGATAAATAACATTTTAATAATATAAGTAAATGATTACAATAAACATTTAATTAATAGATGTTATAACAAGAATTAAAGTCAACTTCATTTACTTTAAGTAAAAAAGCAATTAGTTTGCAGTTATTTGATAAATTACATGATTAAATACATACTTAGTGCTTACAATAAATATTAAAATAATTTACATTATTTTCAACAATACACAAGCCTCATTATCACATTAAAACTAACATTAACTATTAATTACTTTAACAAACAATTAGCAGATGATATAATGGCAAATTAGCTCACAATAATATATAGAGAGTGAATAATTTGATTATTTTACAGTACTAATTTAATTAACTTACAGTAACTTGAATACATTAGATGTTAATAATAATAAGAGCATACAACACATATTTAACCAATTTCTGGAAGGTCACTACCCCATAAAATTACCCTGCAGCAAAGGACTCATTAGAAGTTATAATACATATGGATTTTCAGAAAATATGTCGTTTAGGTATCACCCTTTTTATTAGAGGAACAGAGACATTTTTTCTGAATTATTTTGCAAGGAATCAACCTCACCAGCGATTTTATTAATTCAAATATATTTAATTTTTATTTACATTATATTTATGAATAATACTAAATAAGCATGCTACAGTAGATCAATATACTCAACTTCTTGTCTTCATCTACATATTCAAAGACAGAGTTCCAGAAAGTGATGCAATTGATGAAAGGACTAAATGAAATAATATAAATAGATGAACAAGTATTCAAAGCTCTGCAGGATAAAGATTCTCACATCCTATTAATCCAAAATTGAACCACTTTGCACAAACTGCAAATGTTGAGATAAATAGGTGGGGAAGAAGAAAATGCAGAGCTACAAGTGTAGACAAAGAGAAAGGTAACAAGATGACATTTTTTATACATCTCATGCTTCCGACATTGGGGTGAAGTAAATCAATGAATGAAAATATGTGCTTACAAAATTTCAAAAATAAATTGAGTTACAAGACAAACTGACGTTTAGTTTCCAACTTGCTTTTTGTAAAAAAAAATCTCAAAACCAAATAAGCATTGAAAGAAAGTTACTATTTCAAGCCTTAGTTTTGCATTTCGTTTGCCAATCCTTTATTTTTGATGATTTGTATTTATTGATCACTAACTGAATCCAAATTTATTCATATTTATTTACCAGATGATTGTAGCCTAAACATACAAGATGACATTTCATAAAAAATCCAGTTCCCAGTCCTATCAAATTGTAAATCACAATTTGACATAACGGCGTCCATACCACTTAATCTTTATTTACAACTCAAAAATTAAAACTTAAGTAACTTGAAATTTGGCATTAATCTTGTATCATTAACATATCACAACATTGTTTGATTTGGAAATACTATTTTGATTTCTATTTTAAACTCAAAAACAGACTAATAAAGTGTAGGCATAAAAATCGTCTTCCCAATTTTTGTCAGTTTTTTGTTCAATTAAGACAGTGACTAAACTGACAATTAAGACACTGACCTGACTGACTCCTAAACCAAAGTTACAAGATGGTCAAATAAGATATTTGATATTTAGTTTCCAAGAAAAATCTGAAAATAAAACGGACAACAATTACAAATGATGTTGGAGAAGGACAAATGTGGGAAGTTAAAAATGTGAGAAAAAGTAAGTGTGTTAATTTAGATTGAAAAAAAGAAAAATAAACAATTGTGTTAAATCAGATACTAAAGTTATGTTGAATTAAGTGCTACTAAGGAAGAGATAAATTTTGTTTTGTTTGCTGTCAACAGACTCTCTAGGAACACATGGCATAGAGAACTGGATAATAATGGATATGTACAAATAATGTATTTACATGTTTGTCTTATTGTTAACAATAATAATAATAATAATAATAAATGAGAAAGAGATACTACATTTCATTTTAATATAAAAAATAATTTAAAATCAGGAAAAAAATAAAAATTTAAAATGAGTTTCATTAGAAACAAATTAAATTGAAGGATTGACATACCATGATTCTACTGTATTCTACTACTCGCACACAAAAGGATTTTAGAATAGAAGTAATCCCAACATACGTGTATACTGGCAACATTATTGGTAAAGGTCGTGTAAGATGAGGAGCAGATTCTAACATGTTGGCTCTCTCTCTGAGAGCTTCTTTCACCATTCGATACTGTTCTACATCTGCTTGCATTATGGCTTTTTGTAAGTAGCGAACTCCTCCATGAATCAATTTAGTGCTTCGACTGCTGGTTCCAGATGCAAAATCATCTGCTTCTACCAATGCTGTCTTCAAACCTAAAGAAAAAAGAAAAATTACCAATGATGGATTTATTGCTATGCAAAAGAAGTAACAGTTCTCAGAAGTCTTCAAACTTTTTTAGCAAAAATATAATCCTTAGTATATACACCTAGATACATAATAACTAGGTACATTTGCACTATTTGATCAGAAAAATGTTAGAAGTGGAAAATATCTCAGATTAAAATATATTTCTACCCGTTTATTGAAATATATATATCAATACTAATTCTAATCTATGAACTAACATATGACCCAGAGGAATATCAACTTGAGACTTGAAGAGTTATATTTGTGAATAATGATGGGAAGATAGAGATTATAACATCAAAATAATCATGTACATAGAAATTTGAAAATATTACAAACCTCGAGTGGCTGCGTCAAGAGCACATCCTGCTCCAGTGGCACCGCCACCTATGATCAAGATATCAAATTTTTCCTTTTGCAGGGATGCAATTTGTTCATCTCGGGATGGCAATGGCCTTTTGGGTCGGCATTGTGATGCAGCATGTACTTGAGCCCACTTCAACAAGAAATGTTATATTAAAAGAATCTGACATATTAAAATATCACCCTAATTATCATACTTACTGGCTTTTCATCATTAGTCAGACTGGATACTACATATACTCCTGATCCAATAGCCACAGTTCCTATTATTACTCGACGAAAATATGTGGCCATACTCAATAAATATCTGCAAAAAACAAAAGCAATACTAATTAAATACAATAACTGATGTTATCATAAGTTACATGACACTTGCCACCGACAGAAATAATTCTAGTAGGCGCCTCAAATAAACCCGCTTTTTCAGGCAAGCGGTTAAAGTCCAAAGAACGATGTCATTCGAAAATTAAGACAGCAAGATGAACAAGAGGTAATACACTTTGAAATGGAATACAAATTATAACGAACTTGTCGTTTTTACGGGTAAAATCAAAGTGTAGGTGAGGATAGTTCGTAATCACTTTAGTTACGCCCAGCTTTTCAGACTTTTCACATGCACACTCACCTATTTTAAGAAGTGAAAAGGCACGAAAATTTTGAATGGTGTTCCTAGAGAAAGTGTTAATAGGTTGCTAACTAGAGACAAAGAAACATCTGTTTTATTTTTAACGGGAAGCAAAGTATTCAAAGCTGTCTTATATATAAATGAGATTCGGCCCCACCCCGTCCCGCCCCCCAGAACAAACGTGATCAGAGGGCGTGCCCAGAGCCAGTGGTGCCCAGGGGTGTGTATAAAGTGTGTTTGGGCGTTGTATACCACCTTCAGAATTTCACAACTCCATCAGCAATGCTCAGCTTCCGAAATGTTTTAAAGCTAATCGTTATTTCAGATGTTTTCATTTTTATATAAAAAAACAGTCAATTTTATTAAGGTTACGTAATACAATCTTAATAGGGAACGTAATTGCTTCTTAACGACATTTGTCAAAGTTACAGGGTTAAGGTTACAGCAAGGACGCACTGGAAACCAAGCTTTGATTACAGCCAATCTATATCATTGTGCACAGTGACCATAGGACGATATTGAAAAACTTTTTTATATTGGTTATTTACAAACGGATGTAAATAATTATAATGTGCAAATAGATTATTCTTAAGGATGGAATTCATGGAAGTCTTACGAATGACGCGAATGAATAACGAGTGCTGCTATCTAGTATGTCCCGATTGAATTGTTCATGGGGTGGGGGGTCCCTCTTGCGCATCGTATCGTAAGAGATCGATGGTTACGATTATATCCAACTTCAGCCAATGAGCTTCAGGCGCCAGTTTGCGTCATAATATTAGCGGGTGTTTAATGTTATATTTATGTTTCTGCACTTTCCGAGTCAGTGGAAATACGCACATATGTTGAGGTTACACAAGGAGGGTGAAACCCCCGAAATTGCCTGAGTCGTACAGGCCCATAAACATTCTAAGCACGGTTCGTAGCACAACGCACCAGCTTATGCGAATCACGGGCTGCATAACACGCAACTTTAACGAGGACCGATTTACAGGTAGTGTTCTTCGACGTTGCCAGCGCCTTTGACAAGGTTTTGCACGTTGGTCTCCTTTACAAACTTTATTGTGTGTGATATTCCCACCCACCCTCACACGGAGCTCGCCTTGTACGCCGACGATAAAGCTGTAATAGCCACGTCGAAGAAGATCGAGCTTCTCCTGAAGTACTTGGATCAGCATTTACTACTGATCCAAGAGTGGCTGAAGCTGTGGTGGGTGAAGGTTAATGTAAGAGTGCAGCTGTACTATTCACACGGAGACTGCGATTCACGCAGCTAAGGCCGCTCGCGCTATGCGTAGACGTGATTAATTGAGCAAAACATGTCAAATATTTAGGTGTCACATTAGACAACCCACTTACCTTTACTCGACACGTTGAAAACGTTTGAAAGAAAGCGAGGCAGACCCGAGCCAGATTGCGAAGCTTGATTCACAAGTGGAGCAAACTGCCAGCGGAAAACCGCCTCACGCTTTATAAAGCCATTATTAGGTCGCAACTGGACTACGCTTCCCCCAGTTGGGCGATTGCAGCAACTAGTCATTTGAATAAACTGCAAGTAGTTCAAAACGAATGCCTCAGGGCCACCCTCAGCGTCCCTAGATACATTCCCGCAAAGAGGTACATCGCGATTTATCAATGCTACTGCTCACTGATCATATAAAACAAATTGATGCAATTTTTTTGAAAAAGCAGCTGACTCGGAAAATTCTCTTATTTCCGAGATCGCCTCATACCAACCAATAATTTGTTGCGATTGTTAGAATCAAAGATTTGTATACAAATAAGGAATTTTACTGTGTTGTAATAACCACATCAAGGGATTTTGCATTTTGTTACTTTGCGGTGCAAGCCAAGCAGTAATTACCGTGCAGGAGAATTTTGTGAAGGTATTTTATCAGGAAGAAATATTCGAGTCAAGGTTGAGAAACGATGTAAATTTTCAAAATGTTTAAAAGGGTAATTTGATTTCATATTATATTTGTGTGTTATTTGCCAAATGGTCTTTTTATTTCGCTCGGTGCTGTTATATGAGGTCATATTCTGCAGAGAATACACGCTCTCTTTTACCTGATACTGTGTATGGGTGTAAATCTTTCTCATACGCCAAAAGATCCTACCTCTTGAGATTTCAAAGATCGATTTGAGCATTCGGTCTGACGCCATCCCGACCAATAACCCGCGTTAAATTGAACACACACACAATATATATATATATATATATATATATATATATATATATATATATATATATATAACAGTAGAGCGTGGCTGTTATTAATCGCGCAACTTTTATTGAACGATGATCTTACTTGTCCCTCGGGCACAATAAATAGTTGAAAGAAAAAGTTCGCAGTGAGCCCTGATTAAAATATGTCAAACACATATTCACTGGGGCGAAATAGAAACTATTTTCTATTGAAAACGAAAACTACTGTCCATGATTGTATCCAAAAAATATAAAGAAATGACCAAAGCAGGTGATGATCAATCACAGGAGATACCTTGAACTCCTGAGAATGTTAAAACGCAAATTATTGAGAAAGTTGCGAAGGCATGACTGATTCTCCTGTGATTCGCATTGCTTCTTAAAATCTAGTGGCCGATTTCGTAACTAATATCCCCACTGTACCCAAATTTCATTAATCAGTCGTTCAAGAAAAGTTGCGCGAGTAATACGAAGTTGCGCGAGTAATGCAAAGAGTACAATGTACACAATCAGCTAAGAGCGTTAACAAATTGCATACAAAGTGGAAATTGCTTTTTAAATTTCTCATTTACAAATACATATTTGGTTTTTTTGTTCCATTCAATTTATTTTAAAAATAAAACATCAGTAAGCTATTTCATTAGTAAGCTATTTTATTAATGAATATTAAGATAAAAACATTTTGTGAAGTTTTTAATATTTGTTTTAAAAAGTCCGGGCTCGGAGATGGGACTCCCAAGCCTTCTTATTTTGCTAATAGGGAAATCCAGCTCTGTATTTACCTACACCTTGAACGGTTGATATTAACACTAGCATAACAGTATTTTATCACTGCAATATATTTGAAGCCACTGAAAAGTCAGATCGAGGTGCTGATCTATGCTAATGATTGCAGCTTTGAGTCCTATGTAAGCAACTGTGGTGCAGAAGGCCACGACAATTCACCGTGTATCTCCATAATAAAAAGGAGCATATGAATAATTTTCGAATACTTGAATAAATAATAATTATTCAGGAACAAAATACAGACATACTGCACAATACAAAATAGTAGTACTGTACTGAATGTTTAAAAAATTCTATAAACTCTCAAGATCACCCATTTTCAAAAGGAGTTGTATCAAATGATTCATTGGGAATATTGATTGAATTGAGATTTTTTCAGATTGCACTAATGATTATATCCATCAAATTCCAGCTTTTCTGAGCATCTAGTTACTATCAAACGCAATGTTCTTCAGGAGTGAGGATATTTTAATTGCTCCCAGAAAATCCCGAGGAATATACGAACTTTAGGGCTTGTCACTTGATTTAAATGAAGCGAGTTGCGCGCACGTTGTTGCCAAGTTGCGCGTCACAGTCTGGACACTTAAAAGTGCGCGAACCTCTCCGTTTGGACCGATTTAGACTTATAATTTTGCAAAACTATCCCATTTGAAACAGTGGATATCCTTCAAATGGCGTATATTGTCCTTCACATTGCAATTCGTAGAGACGCTAGCTATCTGAAGAAGAGTTCTTAAAAACATGTTCAACAATTAAGTTTCTCACAATTTTAAAATTTTAGGTCAGATCTGTCAGGTCACCATAAGACCCCGTGTTAAAATAATAAACTTAACGGTCTCGTTACGTGATAACTACTCTGTAAAATCGATTTGAACTCTACCAGAACATAGAAAAACCTCCCATCTTTAAATTAATAGAGTAAAAAAGGCATGTTAACTATAACACATATCTCGCTCTTACCACCTTAAATAATCATTTGTATGCAATGCAGTAATGTATTTCCTAAGTAAGTCTTACATTATATTAGTGGCATATTATGAGGAAGGGTAAATTCACCGTTTTAGTGATCTGTTCACGTTTAGCCAAAGATTGTGAATTGTTTGTAAATGGCAACCTCCCGAACACTTTACCGCCAAAAGTTGTGACGTCATTCTGGTTAATAACAATTTAGGAGGATCCGCCGTGAGAGGAACAGAGTATAATCAAAATGGCGCTATCTAGTTCAAGCGCGGGCAATAATGAAACGTTGGAAATTACCAGTCCAAAACGACGAAAAGTAAGTGACTCTGACGACAGCGTTTTAACAGTTAATTCCGATTTAAAGGATTTGTCACACTTCGAGTTTGATCGCATTCTAAGTGACAGTTCTGAGCGAAAGAGTATTTGCTTGTATGGGAGTTTCCGGAACACATTAGGGAAGGCGATAGTTTTACTGGAGAAAAAACCCTTTGACGAAGAAAATGTGAAGGGTTTGTTGAAGAATACCTGCCCTGTTAGCCAGCAGTTTTTTAATGACATATATGGGAATTATTTCTGCAAAGCTGATGCAGACTTTAATGGTGAGTTGTGACTGGCCATGTGTTAGATTAGAAAGTGGTTTTCTGTTTAACGTTACCAGCTGTTGCAGTCGAAGTCCGTACTACCAACATTCATTTACAAAAACTGTACATATGGTAATTTGATTCATTTATAGAAATAAAAGCTACCGTTATTCATCCTGCTACAGAGAAACATGTAAAAAAATATGAGGCCCAAATTCATCACCTTATTGAAGAAACTCCTAATTTGTATGAGACAATAACACTACCATTTATTCAAAAAGAACAGTTCAACTTGCAGGTTAGGAATATTGCAATAGTGATTTTTTTTTTTCAATTTATGTGTTACTGATATTTCTTTTCCTTTTAGTGGATTACGAACATACTTGAACACAAATCGGAAACAGATCGTATAGTATGCGAGGACACTGATCCTGAGACAGGATTTGTCCTCCTTCCTGACCTGAAATGGGATGGCAAGCAAATTGAGAATCTATATTTAATAGCTATTGTGCGTAAGCAAGGTATTCTTTCCTTGCGAGATTTGAGAGGTTGTCATTTAGATTTGCTACAAAATATTTCCAAGAAGTGTGTGGTAAGTATTATGTGTAATATCTGCCTTTTGTTTTGATAAATAATGGTTCCTTATATTAAATTGTGTGCTTTCACTGTTTTATAGAAAGCTATAGAAGAGAAATATCGTTTTCCAAAATCAAGGTTGCGGATATATTTTCATTATCAACCATCATTTTATCACTTGCATGTTCATTTTACAAATGTTGACTACAATGCACCTGGTAAGATATTGGTTATTTTTACTCTAGTTGGTCTACGATAAGATTATTATTGAACAAGTTAATTTTTTTCAGGAATCCATGCTGAAAAATCTCATCTTCTCCAATCTGTCATCAGTAACATTGAACTAATGGATGACTACTACAAGAAAGCTAATTTAATGTTTTGTGTGAAGGAAGGTGACAATTTATTTAAAGAATATGAAGAAAAAGGACTTGTGAAGAAATGTGTGACCTAACACAATGGCACAGGTGATTGTTGCTGAACTGAGGCCTCGTTTACAGGCCTGCAGTATTTTTATAACATCTGAAGATGGTCTTCTCACAAACAAAATGATGAAAATGAGTATCAAGCCTTCAGATATTGATATTGAATGGTCATCTTATGCTAGAACTATAGTACAAAAAATAACATTACCTGGATGTAGGCTTGTTCCTAATACTTTATCATGTTTGCGAGCCGAAGATGAATTTGTTTTATTCCGTGTACAAACAGAACCTTTAACTGGTTTGCATGGGTCATTTTCAAGAGAAATTATTCCAGTGACTTTTAATGAAAATGGTGAACAACGGACCATAAATGAGTCAACAGCACCCAATATTATTGCTGGTAACACTTGCCAAATATCATGTCATTGCTGTGGAAATGAATTGGCAAGATATCATGTGCAGCGAGTGTTACCATTACCATCTGGTAATCTTGATTCCTCAGAATGGTTTTGTCATGGTGGTCATGGTCATGGAACTAAATTTAGTCTTGCTCCACATTCAGGAGACTTGCTTTATGGGCCATGTTATTTCCTAATGAGTAAGGAATGGTTGCTGCCCAGTGCATTGAATTCAAACGACACTCGTGTTGCTCGGTGCAAGCGGTGTCTTGCTTGGCTTGGCACGTCTGTTACATCTCATATTACACTGTGGAACTGTACAGTATCTATTGATGATTCGTCTTGTTCAAGCCCATTACAAGACTTTATTAAATGTGTGGCACATGCCATTACATCGTGTGTTGGGTGGATGTGTCGGGTCATTGTGGAAACACAAGTTATGGAAGAAGAGACTCAGTATATATTATTGTGGATTATTGATAAGAATCTTCAAATATTAACAAATTCTGAAGCCAGGGAAATTCATTGTGCAGATAATAATTCTTTCATTGAGACTGTATTAAAACCTCAAAATGCAGTTAAATTATTATACCTCCATCAGTCCTGCTTCACTTCTGTTGTAAAAGCTTGGCAGGATGATGTCACTGTTCAATGCATTAATGTTGCAAAGTCAATGTTTACTGATGGTTTGGAACACATGAGGAAAATGACAAAATGCATTCCTCAGCCGTATCGAGTTACAAACAACTTTTTTACTGCATATTTGCAAGTATAAAAATGATGAATACATTTTGGCAAAATTACTCTATGGTATATTAGAAGTTTGGTGTCACAGTTTCTTCGGTGGTGTTTTTTTGTATTTCGTTAATTCATTGAATGTGAATTGATTATTTCATTTTATATTGTTCATGCTAGAAATCTATATTTAAAGCAAACGCAATTTTATAACCAGTGCAAGTTTACATCTAAAAAATTTCACATCAAATACAACACACTAATTTCTGTCACTTCCCAATGGAAATAATCTGTTACGTTCATGAGAGGTTTTCTGACTCTTGCTCTTGTGATCTGGTTTGCGCTTCTGCCATCATTCCATTGCTCACATTGTTTAATAACTGTCCCTCACATTTAAGAGAATTTCTTTTAAAGAGAATAGTATTGATCTAACATGCTTTTCCAGTAGCAAATTTTCAACAACAATTATACACTTGCACCAAACATCACTATGAAAAATTGCCAGTGTAAATAAACACTGGCTGCTTCACTAACCATGATATTATTACATATTACAAAATTCATTAATTTTTTTTATACAGCATTAATAATGCTTATAAAATGAATTATATGTATTCCCATGCAATAAATTGATGGACATTTTCTAGGAGTGAAGGTCCCTTTCTTTTTTATCAAAGTTTAATTATTGAAGCAGTATTCAACTTTGAAGGGGATTGATGTAATGAATTGGCATATTTATATTGGAGGAGGAAGTTTAGTGTTTCTATTCCACGAGAGAACACATCACTGCATGTTATTTCCGCAGCATTGTGAAATTGTTATATGTAATGAACTTCTATTATAGTGGTTGAAGTGAAGAATTCAGTAGGGTAAAGTAGAGAAATGGAGTGGCAAGGGGGCGGGCTGTCCCTCAAATTACGCTAAGCACTTTGAAATAAATATATAAAACGTACCAATTTTCATGTGTCGCAAAGGTAGGAGACACCCTCAAGGAACAATAGTTGACCCCTTCTGCATAGAACACTTGTGCGTCTGAAGAGTGGCCCCTTTCTTACTGCACTAGGACTCAAAATGATCACGCAACTCCTTTTGTGTAGACAACATTGACACACAGAACATGTAAATCCTGCAGCAATTAAACCATGTTCTGGGGCCCATTCATTTCCAGTCGAACACCCTTTTCCGAACAACATGTAAAACAAACAACACAATTATTTACACCATCATATCACACTCTAAAACCCAAATCGAAAGAACCAGATGAGCACGTGAAATATAACTGCGACAGCAACAAAGCTAACCACTTTGACAGCTACCCCGACACACAAAATCACAGGGGCACACCACTATAATTGCGACACTTTGATTATGGAGCTTTGCCAAGATACTAGGGTGAAATTGCCTACCCTAACTTGCGACATTACTGTAGTCACTAAATACAAACCATTAAAATAAATTTGTTGTGTAATTTTTACATATTATTAAGATCGCCCATACAAAGGGCATGGTTTTCCCAGCAAGGCTGTTGAGAATGCATGGCTCGCGCGACAGATTCCCCTTGTACACCTTTAATCACCCCTCTGCCCCTCCAACTTGGATTTCTCCCTTGCTGTAGCGGCGTGATGTGCCATTTTAAATGACTTACTGTAGTTGTACTACATTCTAAACTTCAGCCATTATAGTTTTTCAGAATGACAAATCAATCAGATTTTATCTTTCCGAGTATTTCAACATCATCTTGTTTATTTCAGTGATAACTTTCCGAAGTAAAAATTATTCTTTGCATGTTGCAACAATGACATAATTCAAAATTTTATGGTAATGAATAGAGCCTAGATGTCCAGGCATTTATTTGTGTAACATACAGCGCTGTGGTCTCAAAAAAGTGTACTGAAGCATGGAACAGGGTTCCTTGAACCTGAAGAAAAATTGTTGGCTTCAATGAAAGAAATATAAGAATCTAGACTGGGATGTCCCATTTTCTGGCAGATTTACTTCCTGGCCCTCGAGCTCAAGTACAGTTTGTGTTACTAATAGGACATGGCAGTGCCCTGGCGTGTGGATAACTTATCAGTGATAAGTTACTTGCTTGATCAATATTTGTGCCAAAGGAAAATAAGATAATGAAAATAGCAAAATGAAAATCTAAACAATCCCTGAAGCACAGGAAAATGATTGTTATTGTTAAGTCTTAAAATTGTAACAATTTTAGGAAGACATTGTACCAAAGTAAGTCTCTCGTAATGAATTATTAATAGGAAGAAACTTTTTGAAGCTCTTGCTTGTGGAGTAAGGAATGCCGGTATGTTTCATGACAAGTCTCATATATGAACTTAAAAATTCAAGTGTCTCTCCTGAAAAACAGACTTTTCATATATATATGCCCTTGCATCAACAGATGAATAATGCCTTGGCTCATGTCGTCATTATATAAATTCGATACGGTCAAATACGTTTTTTCTTTTTTTTTCCCAGGTTCTAAAACAGTTAAGTATCACCAAAGACTACATCACTGAGTGAAATGTATTCTTCTAGCTATAAGGACTGAAGTGCCAGCTGTAAATGCCCGAAAGTGTCATTTCAGTGCTTGTAATTGGAGGTTAGGGATAGTTTTTACGAATGATTTATATTGTTCCAGGAATACCAGTAAAAGGACTAGTGTAAGAATTGATATGATCACATCAAAAGCTTATGAGAGTTCATATGTGTGTGAATAAAGCCATCAAATTGATGGAAATGGACAGGCCATAAACATAAAATTTTAAATGGTCTGTGTTGTTTTTTCATCTCATTTTTTAATTAAACTTGCATCTGCTTTTTATTAAATAGACTAAATTTCAATCACAGGATTATGCATATAAATAATATTTCTTATGAAGGAAGTTTTAAAGAGACTTTCTCTTGCATTCTAGTTTTATAAATACATTGATTTCTTTCTCCAGTTGCAATGACAAGAATAATAGAGAGCAAAATGGTTCGAGCACAAGATAAAAAAACATTTGTGAAAGATTTGAATAATTTCTAAATGTTAATCACTGTCCTCCCCGAAATTGGTTTGGCACCAATAAGTCAAAAATATAATTTGTGTGACTGAACAGGCAGTAGAAATAGTACAGTTGTAGTGTTGTGAAATGGTTTAGGAATCACTTACTTTTTGGTACATTTGAGTTCAGAAGAAAAGCTAGAGAAATAAGAGAATGTTGGCACATCAAACGTTTTGGAATGAAATACCGTGAAAGGATTAAAACATTTTTTCTTATTTGAGTGTTTAGTGATGAAGAAGCTGAAGCTTTGTCATAAACCATATTTATGGTGTAGATTTAGTGAATTTTGAGAACTATATTGTAATAGGTGAGAGATTGTGTTATAATTTTGAACTGCATTGTTATGAAATGTGTAGATACAAAATTTTTTTAATAATGGACTTCTTGCATGAAACTGTTGGATAAAGAAGGAGTACCTCTGCTAGTTTTATGCATTTATTATTAAGGGTAATGTTTCATTGACTTCAACTATTTAATGGAAAGACTTATGTATGTACAGGATACTGTATTTTTATGAAGTGAAATGTAATATTTTGGTGTAGAATACCATGTTTTGTTTCTCTACTTACCTGCAAAGAAGCAAATGTTGATTACATGTTATTTTAATGGGACCATAATTGGGAGCATAATGTTATTTAAGAAGATTAGTATCTACATAAATGTGCAGAAAATAAATCTTTTTATATTTCAAGATTCTCAGTTTTTGTGATAGAATCCACAGTATAAATTGATACTTAGTTCATTTTAGTTTGCATATGAGATATGCATCTGTAAAACAATCCCAAGCATCCTGATCACCGCATAAATTTGAGAATTATCTCTAAAGAACTCTAAAACATTTTATTCTGAATACTCTGTCAGCTGTGAAAGGCAATAAAATATAAAATCAAAATAAAGCAAATGCTAATGACTGGTTTTCATTTTTAAAACAGTTCTGATCAGAGTTCTTGCATTAAATTTCATGTAACCAGTTTTTGTAAACTATAGTCCTTCATCATTTTAGTTTTAACTTTATTAATTTAAAACAGAAAATGAAAATATTTTCATTATTCATATTCTTGTTCCAACACTCTTTGGGATAAAGTGTATAATTTCTTCAGGAAAATTTTAATCTTTAAAAAATATTCCATTTTAATTAGAGGAATTTTTTCAATGCTTCAGTACACTTAATTTATCATTTTTAAGTTCCATATCTTTATTTTGATTAAAAGGATTAAATTGAAAGATTGTAAAAACAAATATCCCATGATAAGATATGGTATTTCCATATTTTGTCTGGTTTAATTCAAATAATAGAAATTGATTTTTTAAAATATGTGTGTCTTTAAATGTTTTCAGTTTGTAGTTAAAGCCACTGAAAAAATAATCTGGTTTCTGCAACCAAAAGATGATATTGAGTGATTTTCTTTAGAATGGAATGATTTGACAGCTAGTGCTCGCAACGCAACTGACGATTCTGTGGTCGTTGTGTCCTTGAACCTATAAGACTGTCCTTCCTCCATTTGTTTGTTTGCAATTGGCTAACTTGTAGACGGCTTCAACTTATCTTTATGTGATGTCCTCATCCGACGAAAATACAGTGCACCATGAGAAATAATTGAAATTAGGAAGTACAGAGCTATGTGCTCTTCTGTAAAAATTCTTTTTTATATAAACATTACATTGAACTGGGTTTTTATGTGATAAGTATTATGCTTCATTTAAAATTGAGTCTTGATGAATCGAGTCAGATGCGTACTGGTGGCATGTTTCCGGCTGTGTTGAAAGGTGGCTAGCTGTTTTGTGATACCGTGGTTTGCTTCTTATATTTATTTTTTATATAACTGTGACACGATTGTGAACCATGAGAAGCCAGATGGGGCGCAATGTGCATCGCCTTGTTCACGCCAGCGACACGAAGACACTCTATTCTTCGTGAGGAAATGGAATGATGAGTGTGATCTGTTATTGTCAGATAATGCTTGTCACAGTGTTCATGTAAGTGTAAGTTGACTATCAATTGCATTGTACTCCTGAAGAAACAATATAATAGCAATATTCTCATAATTACAAAATGTAAAACAACAGAGGGTGTGACTTATTTTCCAAAAAGGAAATAATTTTGTATTTTCTATACTTACAGTTGGAGAGATAGCCTACAAGAAAACGGACAAAACCTGAACTGAAGCACTTCCTGGAAAACAACAATGTTCTATTTAGGGCTGATGCATTTCACCAGGAACTGTTTGCTTTAGCTTCATCAAACAAGCCAGAGAAACAGTATGTATTTTCTGTGAATGATTTACCTACATATAAATAATCTACACCCACAAATAGTGGTCAGCAAATTTAATTATAAAATTGTTACTGATTTTCCAACCTTTCATATCGGGTTAAAAGCCTATTAATAAAAAGAAGGATGACATTGTTGAGAATGCCCAGAACAGTTATTGTGAAATAGTATATTTTCATGTCAGTAAAATATTTATAGGTATCACGTGGACAATATTATTAATGCTGCTGGACATAAGGTGTTGCGACTACCACCTTATCACTGCCACGACAATCCTATAGAAATGGTGAGGAATGATTGCAAGAGATATTTCAAAACTCATATTGGAAGTCCATTTGATCATGTTCATGTAAAACAAGTGTGGCACGATGCCCTTCATCAAGTTCACAGCAGAGAAGTAAGTGAATGATAATCATACAGTCCCTGGCCATATTATTGTACGCACTCTAAATTTTCAATAAAAATCTGGTTTTTGTGATGAAAAATGTATTTTCTTTTTATTTCTAATGAAATGCATAAGTAATAATTGAATACTTTCAATACAAACAAGATATCATATGCAAAATTATGTCTGTCAGTATAATATATAAACTAATTTTCATAAAAAATCTCCATGCACATGTATATTTTTAATCCTTTGTCAGGTCACCTTTGGCGGCTATTAGACCTTTAATTCTTCTTCTTCTTCTTCTTCTTCTTCTTCTTCTTCTTCTTCTGTCTTTTTTTTCTTTTCTTCTTTTTTTTTTTTTTTTTTTTATTATTATGCATGCCTGGACTTTTCGTTGCAACTTTTTTTTCAAATTTTTGTTTCCATAGTTATTTAAGGTCTGCATTAACTACTAGGTCATAGCGACCACTATGCTTTGTAACGGTATGGCAACTGTGAGTTGACAACAATAATGATGATGATGGAGGTGGGTGAAAAAGGACGATAACATAATACAACCATTGCCCAGGCGGATCTCGAACGCCTGCGATCCTTCGGTCCGAGCTCGCTACGGCACTACTGCCTTAGCGATCTCGGCCACCGGATCGGCCCCTTGCAACTTTGGATGATGGTACCAGACTTGTATTATTTTCTCAAGGAGGCGAATTTTTGTTGTTATTTCTTCCCGTGCAATTTCCCCCTTCATGAGCTCCCAAACATTTTCTATTAGGTTCATATCTGGTGAATTTCCTCGACATGGTAACACAGGAACATTTTTCTCCAACAAAATAATTGAACTGTTAGAGCAGTATGACATGGAGCTCCATCTTGCATAAAAACAAATTCAGTTGTGAACCATTCCTGTAGTTGAGGCAGCAGTCGTTTCTCCAATACTTGCTTGTACTGGTCTTGTTTCATAATGCCCTTAACCAAGTATTGATCAGTGCCTTTGCCACTGATCACTGACCAAATTGTTGCCTTGACTGGATGTTTCACAGTCTGGATGACAATCTTAATGATACTTTTCACCAGGGCGCCTTCTCACAAATTGATGTTTGTTTGCTAGAATTTTGATAGTGCATTTGTCGCTAAAACAAACCTGAAATACAAGTTAATGACATTACAAATAATTATGGTAGCCATTTATAATTATAAAAAAACACTACAAGAGATTTTTACCGATTGCCAGAAGTCCAAATCTTTATTCTTAAGATTCTTAGCCTATGCAAGATGTTTTTCTTTCATACCAGCTGTTAATCTGGGTTGGTGGGCTGGTCTACAAGCTTTAAAATTCATTTGTAGTAGTGTACGCCTTACTGTCCTTTCAGAAACACAAATTCCAGTACTTTCCAATTTAAATTTAATTTGTTTAGTAGTAGCAATCCTGTTTTCATGGCAAATCTTCCTCAAACATCTCTCTGATCTTGGTGAAAATATTCTCTTCCATCCACATGTGTTCTTCCTTCATGGGGATAATTCTTCACCAAGGACAACTTTTTTCTTAATTTGCCGAATAGATATCTTGGATACCTTCAACCTTTAAGGTATCTCATGATTTGAATAATTTTCCGTGTCAACACTGCTGCGATCTTCCGAGGAGACAGATCACTTGCATTTCCCATTATTTTTATTCAAAACTATCAGTTTTTTGTATATAACAATTCACAATTTTTAAATAAACACGGCTATAACTATTTCACAAACTAATAAATGGAAAATAAACTATCTTCATGCCACAACACACTACTCATGTCAGCTCTTGTTCTACTAATTTGTGTATTTGTGTGTTCTACTAATTTGTGTGTTTTCTCTTCTAATTTGTGTGTCTAAGCAACAATGAGGTGTCACAACAATGGTACATATTGACAAATAATGTGTTAATTATTAGAATTCTAATAAATTTGGAGTGCGTCTAATAATATGGCCAGGGACTGTACTAATTAACTAATACTAATTAACAGTTAACTAAGCAGAACACTAATGAAATTTTGTCTTTTTGTTCCAGGAAACTTCCACTGACATAAGGAAACAACTAAATTTTATATATTTACCACAATTAATTAAAATAAATATTTCCTACCCTTGTTAATTACTTTCTTAAAAATTAATATATTGTTTAAATATGTGGTATTGTAATTTTCTGTATTGTATTATAATTGTAATTTTCTGTATTGTATTTGATAGTTTTCTTTTCTTTGTATTAACGTGTTTTGTACAATTTTTTTAAGCATAATAGTACTTACTTGTTGTCTTTGTAAATGTTTATAAATTGTGTTGTCTTTGTAATATCTCAGATTTGGAAGCTTGAACTGGATGAAGTCGAAAGCAATTTCTCATTCAGTACATCTGCAGAATTTGCTAACTTATGTGAAAAAGAATAAAATTAAATTATTATTATTATTCATAAAGTCTGGTATGGATCAGAATTTGCTGCCAGAGTGTAATGGAATTAACAATTCACCCTATTTGTGTAAGTTCTCCATAAATAATGTTGTGAAGTAATTTATATTTATGTACCTTCACAGGACATTTTTAATACCGATCCCATTTATTCCTTTAACATGATAGGGATATGTTTTATTGAGATCTAATATTTAAAATATTTATTTGAAAAGTAAATGCTTGTAAAGGAAACAACTCAAGAAAATTTACTTAAGCCTCTAGTTATGGATACGAGAATACAAATAAAAGATAGCATTCACTGTTTAGGTGTAATTGGTGAGAGTGAATATAAAGAATGTGCCTAATATCCACGAATTAGGTGAAAAGACATGCCAGACAATTCATGCATTGAAATACATAACATTAGTGAAATATAAAACATTAAAACACTTGAGTTATGAGAGAAAAGAACCAAGTCTTGATAGTCTGGGTGTTGTAATTATAAACTACCCTCTTCACTACTAAACTGCATGAGTCATTCGCTGTGAAACGTCTAGAAAGTATTTGAACGTCCCCTGAAAAATCATTTTTTTCTTTCTATTTATATTCGGGGCAATTTTCTTTTACTGAATGTGAGATAATGTTAGACAAATGTTAAGCGCTCTCTCTTGGCAGCTGAGCGAACAGCGTAAGTGAGGCGAATGCCGATAGAGTGAACTACATGTCACCAACTAGCGAGAATCGCCGGGATGCTTTGCGATACCTCCTGCTATTGCATGGAGATCGGATATCCCAGCATGAATTCTAAGGTTTAAAAACGTTTTCCGTTATTCGATCTTCATGCGACACAAGGAGGTATCGCAGTCCAACCAACTTCAGCGCTCTCTCTTGGCAGCTGAGCGAACCCTTTAAGTGAGCCGAACGCCAATAGAGTGAACTACATGTCACGCACTCTGGCGGGAATCACAGGGTGCTTT